GGTAAAGTAGAGTAGTCGAAGTCGTATTAAATTCCCTAATACAGACACTTTTAAAACTAAACGATCCAATTATAAGTGGACCACCTCCTGATCATTAGCAGAGAACCAATCGCAGTTGACTTTCATGAACTCTTTCTGTTGTGTGGAGCGTCAAATCCCCCCAGAAAGCCTCAGTTTGCGTCCGAAGCAGGCTGGACAAGATTTTAGACTCGCACTTTAAGCTCATGCATCTCCCTTAGTAGCTTGAGCGCTTACAACGGCTAACAACTGCATAGCCGCTATGAAGCAGAAGGTAGAACATCTACCAATAATGCTATTGGACACTGCTTCGGATACTACAATGCAATTCACACCGACAAGCTCGTAAGTGTGGGGCTTTCATACGGCTTCGACAAGCCCACATGTAACGCATGATTTATGTACAGGATATTCGGAAATTTGAGAGTATGACAATCTTCTTTTTCGCAGCTTAGAATTTTAGACTGCATACAACGCATGTATTAATTGTCATTGTTGTGTTATTTGGCTGTGTGTGGCATCGGCGTGTTGATTATGATCATTTGCCTTTTAGTCATAGCGTCGCGCATATGGTTCATGATGCTAAATCTAATTGAAATGATAATCTTGACTTTGCTACGAAGTGTAGCCAAGTTGATACTGCGTATTCGAATTTGATCGACAGCCCTCCTTTATATGACTGGAGCCACATTGTGGTGATGTCGCAAGAACCCGCAGTCTAACAACTCGCTTCACCTTACCGTCACGCGTATGCTTTCTTGAAGGGTGTTCATGACACGCAGCGATCGCGTTCCATTTGATCATCCATTTGCGGATAGTTGGCGCTGAATTTTACGATTTGAGGCACCTCGTGGACAGTTTGAACAAGAGGCCGATCTCGCTGCTGTCAGCAAACCGTTACAGATGAGAATATAGTCAAGTGCTCCACGACGAAGTTTCTGCCAGCATGGACTTATCCCGCTCTCCAAAAATCTTCTGGCAAACTTTGCTAAAGGTGTTCACCACAACGCTAGATTGACCGAAAGCTTCCTTTCGGATGACCAAAAGTGACATCCATATTAATAGATTGCCAGCAGTCTATTCAAACGATAGACTGGCAAACGTGCTCAGGCATTCGGCACGGTATTTTGCTGCCGATACGTCTTGTACGTTTTGCACACCACGACTTAGCTCATTCCTGCGCATTTGAAAATGAGAACATAGCATTCAATGAGCCGTATATATAGTCTTTACGAAGGGGAGGTACTAATTACCTTGGAAAGAATTCTTTTTGTGCTTGTTATCACTCGGTGCCACCGCAGATTAAGTTTCGAGTGTGTCGACGCTGTAATGGACCAAGACTTGGGACAGTGAATAGCGGAACAGAGGCGCAACAAAACGATACTAAACTAAAACCAAAAGATATAGCCCAAACCCCTCTGTTTTTTAAGACATTTAGCAATGCAGCCCATGCTCCGTCTGACCCTTACGCTGTACGCGTCGCCTCGTCAATTGACATGGATAAGCAACAGCTCATATTTGGAGCAACACAGCAGCACATCTGCCACCCCATCAAACCTACCGGCAAAACCCGCTTCTTGAAGCTGTACTAGCCGAAGAAGAAATACCGCTTTGGCTATCATTCGCCAAAGATGAGATGACGTCGCTGCTGAGCGTGCAGGACTAATATGTGCTTACCTCATACCATGCTGATCCTTGTCCCGGATCGGATGTTTGTTACAAATCTAAACTAGTATGACTCAGACGCGACGCTGTCTTAATTTCAGTTAGAATCTGCTTGGAGGAAGTCACAGCGTTCGGTAAAGACTGTAGCGTCACACGTCATGAAAGGATCGATTCGAGTGCTATATGGCCACGTCAAGGCAGCCATTACATTGTCTTTCCTACCTTTGAAAGGTCGTCTTTTCTACCGTACACCATTACTGTCTGACAACCCTTTCATAAATATAGAACTGTACATGGCTTTTTAATGTATGCCGAAAATGTATGACGACACGGAAATAATAGAGTCGCCACAAGTGTTTTATTTAGTTAAGGATATAAACTGACCTGGTTTGGCAGCCAAATATGCCTCAAACACCATTAGCCCTTACCAAAGAAGCAGCGTGAGGTCATCGCCGATGTTTCTGTACAGAGTACAAAGCAGGTGTGGACAAAGAGTGCAAGTGTTTTCACTGGATTGTATTACTTTGTCATCAAGGCTGATGGAAAGTGGTAACATGTGCATGCTTATCATAAGTTAAGTGCTTAGTACGTGCCTCCTACTTCGTCGATGGGTATAACCGACTTCTCATGAGAGAGCATCGTAATTATTCGTTGTTCAGTAAAGAGGTTACTATGTTTCTCTCCCTGCGAGACATTCTGTATGTGAAATGCTCTAGAATGACCTATTTTCGCTCTGAGGAAGTGTCATGTATCAGTGACAATTCAACATCGGGTGACACAGCGGATAAGGCTGCAAATGCGCGCACACATTAATTATGCGATGATACATTCGAGCTCAATTAATGGATTCGAGCATATACATTAGACTTTGCGAGCTGTACTGATGTGTATGTAGTTGAACAAGCCTCTTGCCAATCTTGAAAATCTTCTTCGGTGTTGACGAATCTTCACTGTGGAGAATGACCTGTGGGCATATACATTAAAGATCGGAACTGTAATAGATTGACCAGTGCCGCTACTTCGAAGGGATTCACGAAGACACAACCGTTGCATGAGTACGATGCGAATGATGCCGGCATGGCAAATCCCCCTCGCCAGTTACTGGAAAATATGACAAATCATATTGAAGGGAGAAGAACTCAAAGTATGACCACATAAATTTTGAAAGGTTAAACTTGGATTGGCCATTTCGCGTTGTTTGTTTCGCTTCGCTCTTTCCACAGGCTGAACTTAGCACTAAGCAGATACAGATAGGCATAAGTGTGTTATTGCTTTAGATCTTGCCGACATGAAGCTGCGGCGAAGATCTACTCCGGCTTACAAGAATGAATGCTAGGAAGCATGCTCTTGTCAACTTCAGACTGAACCTACCTGACTGTAACCGCCGAAATCTATACATTTTATGTTTCATGACACGTTAAGAGCGTCGTCTCATCTCTTGCGTTAGATGCCAAGATGGGTTTCCAATTCTACTAGGCACTCATTCGAGGTGAGATTCAAGCCTGGTCGGCAGAGCTTGGCGGCAGAGGTGCTTATCGTCGCCCAACATAAATTTGTCGTAATCCACAATAGTGAAATCGTGCTTTGACATGTGTGGTTGCATGCGTTGGGTAGCAGAGGGTTGCTGATCCTGTAAATGTTTGTATATTATTTGGAATAATGACAGTGTAGCTAGAGTCTTTCTAGATGCGACAATTATTGCGCGATGTAGCGAGGGCGCAACGGAGTCGCATAATCCGCATACACAACTTGTGTATTTCAGCTAACTTCGATTAAAAACATGTCAGCCATTTCAAAAACGTATATTTTTCGTCTTCATGTGACATCTGCATGTTGCTGATGCACGCTATTACAATGTTGCACACACGGCGAATGACGCTGAATCTCGCCGAAGAATTCCTCAATTTTGCTAATCTAGCCGGGCCGATATCAGCAAGCCGAGCTGTATTGGTAACTCCTCCTCATCAAGTATACAGATTTAGAAGCCAAAATAGAAGGAGACATTAGGCACGTTATGTTAGAAGAATTAAAGGCCTCCTCTTTCACAGCATCCCGGCACCATGCTATATCTTATTAAGCAGATCGATCAAGCATCATTCCATGTCGAAACACCTGACACTTCGCTAGTGCAAAAAATTGGTTTAATCAAACAGCTCTCACTAAATCCTAAGGAGTATAGATATCGGCCAATCCCACAGTGGTGACCAGCTTCCCTGGATTTCACGACAGGTAATGCTTTTACAAATTTGAGATTTGTTGACGATATGGACTGCTGAAGAACAACTTATTCAAGTGCACATATTTGAGACCTGCTTGCAAATGTTTTGTATATTCAGAGCTGTTACTTCGTGCCCCACGATACTACGGACGAATATGGTTGTCGAAGTTGGTCTGTGCATAGGCGCGATGCGACCTAAATAACTGCGTCATAGACAAGTAGACGTTGCTGATGCGCGGTATGATCATAAGGCAATAATAGTCACTCCTGGAGCAACCCGCTTGGCATTTTCTAGTGCACTGAAGAAGATTTAACAAAAGCTCATGAGCAATTAATAAGACCTATCAACCGTGTCGCTCATTTTGATCAGAACATAAGCAATTATACTGCTCTGCAGCAAATTCGTATCTGACTCAGCATTTACGTCGAAACAGCGGCTCCGTTCGACTTACCTTATTGTTGTACAATTTGTTACCTGTCGTTTGCATTTTGACGCAGAAAATTGATGCCGAATGTGAAATTAGACACTCTTTTTGATTTACTTTGTTCTTTACGGGGAAGGCAGCGTCGATGACACAACACTGCTCTACTGGAAAGAGAAA